GAAATTACAGAGAAATTGTGAAAGTAACCGGTTTAGAGAACCCAACATGTTTATATTGCGTAAAATGTGAGGCAATCGAATAGATTTAGAACATGAAAGGCCAAACAGTGATGCCAAATAGAACAGACTGACTTGATTTTTAGTGTATCAGAAGGAGGGATTGTGCATCTGAGGACCAATGTTTAATTTGACACTACAGTTACCTATAGATGCTAAGCCATGTTTAACAGAGTGTCAACAAACCAAACTTTCACATTTCAGAGAGACACTCTTCTCTGTTCAGCGTTTCTACATATCTGCAATTTCTGAACTGTGGCATCAGATATGAAGTGATATTCTAGCGGGGTACACTGGATAATCAAACTTATCATAAACAATGTTATATCTGTTAAAATTTGTAATTGTCACAGAGCTTTCTAGTTTGGAAGTGTAATCCACTGCCGCTGCTCACAGAATCCGTCCATTTAGCAAAACGTGCAAATGGTTTCTGCATTTCTATCCACTCTCGTGTTTCCAGACGACCTGACTGCAACCTGGCAGGGATGTTTAGTTTGTGTAGTTATTAGGGAAGAAGCGGTCAGTCTGGGAGAATTTATAGAAGACTGTTATTCTTGTTGTTGATGCTTTTTTGTGTGTGTGTGAGTCTCTCATCTTCACTTTCTTCATGCCCTGTTTGTCTCAAATGTTCATATGTTCGTGTATGCTCCTGCTGCATGTCATCCATCTGTATACAATAGAATCTGCTCACTCTCAAACTGTCATTCTAATAAATCAAACTGCCATGATTTATTTCTTTATTTTCTCTCCTTTAAATTAAAGCAGAAGTGTTAAAAGGCAGGAATGTACAAGCTGAGTATACAATATACTCTTTTGTTACAGCAGTGAACGTAATTTTAGTAGTAGTTAATAGTAAATATAAAGGAAAATATTTAAAAGTCAACTAAACAAACAACAACAACAACCAAAAAACAGATGTTTCCCTGGCAAGATGGTGCAGTGGTTAGCACCATCACCTCACAACAAGAAGGTCCATGGATCAAATAGCCTTCTCTCGTCCTGTAGTCCAACGATGAGGTTAGGCTAATTTCTGATTCTAAACTGGCCACCAATTTAGAATCATGAAGTAACTTAAAATAACCTTATCTGAGTTTGTTTGAAGCTTTAAACTCAAATCTTTCTCAGTTGTTTCCTGTTTTACTTCTCACAAGAGTAATTGTGCAGTAGTATTCTGTTTTTCATCAGTTTTATTTTCTATGTGATTTTTAATTGTATGTTAGTAAATTCAGTTAAGTTTCTGTTATTTCCCCGGAGGGATCAGTTGGTTTGAGTTTTGATTAGTTTTAGTGTGAATTTAATTTTTTTTCTTCAAAATATTAGTGGTGCCAGATACTATTATTTTAATAATGTGCTTATCTAAACCTCCTAAATCTTACAAATTCTTGTCACACAGTCATCCCAGTCAGGTTAACCGTCTGCATTAATGTCTCTTCGGTCTGCTTGTGCTGGAAAATTTGACAAACCACAAAACCATTTTTTATCTGTTTTTTATTTATTTATTTATTTTTTTCGTTTGATTGAATTTTTAGTTCCGTTGGCCAAAATGTTGTTTTTTACACTAAGTGTTACTTTTTATTTTAATTCACTATATAAAAAAAACTTGCTTTTTGTGGAAGTTTTTTTTCATGCCACCACTTCAGAAAATCCAAATCATGCCAGGTGATAAGTACGTGACCAACTGTTAACATTTGTCCCAAACTGCTGCTGCGTCCGCCTAAATATAAGGCTGACAGGAACACCCAAGCAGAATAACCAGATCTCTTAAAGTTTATATAATCTGTGATAAATTTATGATAAAATGACGCTCTTGGGCTTTAATAGCGTCTCATCTGTGGTGGATTAATGGACAGGCGTTCACCGTCGATGCCTTAAATGCAGAAAAGGGGTCCTGTCTGTTTGCGCATGTCCGACAGATGATGCTGCTTTAGCAGACAGCAGCACGAAGAGCTGACACGCTGATTACAATCCTTATCAACGTTATGTCGCCACAAAATGAAGTTTCCTTACTCAAAGATTCCTGAGGAGTAAGTATCGCTCTTTTTAACACAGGTCACGTCGGTGCTTTCCGTCAACGAGAAGCTAAAGTTTGCTAACCAGCTGGCCTGTTCACAATAAGCACAAAGAGGCTCCTTATTTACTGTGGTGCTTGACTTGAGGTAACCTTTTGAACGATTTAACATCAGTTTTCTGAAGGTGTCCGGTTCTGCTTGGGGTTCACATGGTGTTTGGCCACTGGAATCGTCCGGGGTGATTTATTGAAGGCTACAGGCGTTAGCTAGCTGTTTAAAACTGCAGCAGGTTGAGACTGGATTGTTAGACAGATGGCTAACGTTACCTAGCTGCAGACTGGCTGTCAGAAAGTTCACCTCTCCCGCTGTAAGACCACTCCAAGAAAGCGGTTCAGCCTTAGGAAGACAGCTTTAGCTGGTGTATGTTTGAAAGGTTGGGTACAGAGGGTAAAATAAGTGTGTGTGTGTGTGTGTGTGTGTGTGTGTGTGTGTGTTTTATATATATACAGCTAGGACTGAAGCGTCGATGTGTAGCCCAATGCATTTTAATTAAGATTAAGTAGAAAAGCCTGGTGTCTGGCATCTGACACAAACACCATTTCTCAGCAGGAGACTTCATCTGAAACCTCGGGGAAATTGTGCCAAAATAAACGCACCTTTGTGGTAAGGAAGGATGAGTGCTGATAATGTTTTATTGATTCCTGATTGTTTAAAAATTAGGGTTACACTGGCTTAGTAACTAACTGCTTTATATTTTGGGTCTGAACACTGTAGACAGACTTGTTTGTGTGTATAATCATAAATATGTCACTGAATAAAGTCAGTGAGCACACTAAAAGGCCTACAGTTTCTATGGATTGTATAGTTTATAACTGGTTTGTCTTTCCTATCCTGAATAACAAGTCAATCTTAACTTCCACTGTTCAGACGGTTAACTCGTGATGAATCATAAACTGCAAATGGAGGATGATTCGGCATTTGTGCTTCTTAACAGATCCCTTCCTCTTCCCTCTCAGTGGAGGAGCTGAGAAAGGAATTCTGCTGCAGTTCTCAAAATCTTTATATTCTCAATTAATCTTAATTCCATTAAGATTCCATTAATCTATTTTCTTAATTGTTGTCTTATTTCAAATCTTTAAAAAACTCCTTTAAAATATATTTATTTGAGTTAACATGAAGTCAAAGGTTTCAGTGACACTTTAAACCACAGCATATATAACTATGCAATATTACAGAAAAGTCTGAAGACTGCCTTCCAATTCCTTTTTATGGAGTGAGGAAAATGGAACTAGGTGCAGCAATTTACTTAATATCCAGAAATAAAAACAAATGCAATATGTAAGGCAAAATCACAGTTTGTATTTTATAACAAGCTTTAAAGTAAATATTTGGTTATGACCACCAGCCTGACTTCTTAGGTAGCTGTCTTGTAACTTGCCAGTCTTCAAGAATGGTTCTCCAGGCTTCTTGAAGAACATTCAAAGCCCTTCTTTGGATGTTTGCTGTTTGGTTTTGAGATGATTCCACGCTGCTTCAGTGTTGATGTCCAGACTCTGATGAGGCCAGTCCATGACTGATGGTGTTCCACTGTCTGTGGTTTTGTTTTTTTAAATCAGGGTATGCGTTTACTACACAAAGCTGTGGACAGTCAGATGTTTGTGCCGCATGGTGTATCAAAATCTGATGGTACATTTCTATATTCACGAATCTATCAATTTTGAAAAGATCTCCACCAGCGTGACTGAATGCAGCTCCAAACCATGACAGAACCTCAATTATGATTTGTTGCCACTGATTTTCAGTGTGGTTTCTATGTAATTTGGCATCCCTCAGCCTTTTCTCCCCCTCCAAACATAAAAAACATTCTTATGAAAATGGTAAGGTACAAGAACTGAACAGAAAATGAGTGAAAAAGCCACCAATGTCCAAATAGAACCTTGAAAGACATTAAGAAAACTTGGAAAATTATTGCTCTGTGCCACACAAAAAACAAAGCCTAGATCTGTTGAAGGAAATTGTAAAGAAATGAGAGTTACTTCAAGGCTTTTGCACAGTTCTGAATATGAGGTGTGTCTGTGTGGACTCACAGCTTCCAGTTCTGAAAAGTGAAGCTAGCGTGTTGCTGATATAATTGACAGTCAAGAAGGGGATATAACAGTGAGATGTTAAAGAATGGCTTGTATGAAATATGTTTGTATTACTAGAGAAGATGAAAGTAAGTAATTCTAGAAGGACAAAAGGAAGAAAAAATGGCATTGTTTGTTTTCCTTATTTAAAACAATTCTTTATGTCACTGGTTCTGTACCTCTGCATTATGATGAAATATTTCAAATAAAAGTTTTAGATTGTGTTGTAAGCATGGCTCTTTGCTTTTCCCCAATTTTTTTTTTAAATTTTCTGATTTGCTGCTAAAACATTTTGGCACATTCTTAGCTTGACACAGAAAGCTGGCTGGCTTACAGTCTGCCATCACTCTACAACTATGTGCTGCTTTGTTCATCTCCATCTCAGCTCCTTGCTGCCTGCAGTGTGTACACAGTGAGCTTATACAGAGCCATGGTTTCTCTTTATTACAAGATGCCATTTGCAAAAGGTCAAACTGAACTGTGAAAATCAGTGATGCCAAAGTATTTTCACACCAATCTAAG